CATCCTTCAATAGTCTCAATCCTTCAATCCGGTCAGTCCTTCAAATCCTCTCAATCCTTCAATCCTGTCAGTCCTTCACATCCTCTCAATCCTTCAATCCTCTCAATCCTTCAGATCCTCTCAATGCTTCAATTCTCTCAATCCTTCAATCCTCTCAATCCTTCAATCCTGTCAGTCCTTCACATCCTCTCAATCCTTCAATCCTCTCAATGCTTAAATCCTCTCAATCCTTCAGATCCTCTCAATGCTTCAATCCTCTCTGAAATATATGTGATTCAAGTTTTCAACTTTAAACGTTTATCGCAGAAGAAGATATTTCCTGATTGCACATGAACTTTGAAAGTGTAAGTCTCTAACCTGCGCTCACATTGTTGCAGAAAAGCTTTTAAACTGGTCAGAACTTATTATTCAAACAGAGTTTCATTTCACTTGCTTTATGCAAGAACTGCCACTCAAGTAGCCAACCTTGTTTTATTCGCGTTGGCTTGAATATTGTTCTTATTTCACAGACGTTGACAGGCGTCTGTCGATGAAGAAGCTTGGATTAGTTCTGACTGAGTTAATATTTCGATTTTTTATGAAAATAGCAGAAATGAGTTATATGTTGTATCGTTATATTGCATAGTTCATCTCACACAAGTTCTAGTACTCGTGGCAAAACCGCTGTCAAACTCGAAAAGCTGGCAACAAAGATCCTGATTTTCTCTTGATTTACAGAGGATGTTCTTCCTATTTACCCGGAAAATATTAGTAGATTTATAGTTATAATTTTTCTGCCGTAAGCTGATTTTGCACGAATCTTTAGAAAACCTTACTATGGAGAAAGAAACTTACGTTATGAAAAGATGCGATCAGATCTTGGATTCCGATCACAGAAGACTAATGTAATTTAGGCTTTATTATCAGGTCATCGTAAAAGTTTGGTTGCACCGTTTTTTAATCGAAACATTTCAGTATTTTTGTGATATGTGACATGTCCAGCTAATGCTCATATCTACAAAAATCCATCGTTACGTTTGTTCCATTTTTCTTTCGTTACTTCCACTTTGAGTTTTGTTTGTTTATTTTCAGATCTAATAGCAACTTTTGTGTTGCGGGTATTATCTCCATGCTATAATCAAGAAGCGTTGAACTGTGTTCTTCGATGAGACGACTGCTTTCGTTTTTGATGTGCCGCTTTTATAGTACATTCCACAATTGTTCACCATCTGTGAAAATAGTCTTAGTTGATAGGAAACTGTCTGGCGAATAATAATGATTTATGATTTGTATAATATAGGGTTTGCTTTCTACTGGAGAGGACAGAAAAAGAAGTTGAGGGAAGCGCTGAATTGGGTCGTCTTTACAAGAGTGGTATGGGAAAGGTTTTTATTTTATCTACTGCAGATGAGCGGGCTCATAAGCAGTGTCCACAGGGTTTGAGTGAAACCTTTTTAAGAGTCACCTTCCTAGTTTTGAATGCCACTGCTTTGCTGTTTTTGTGTTGATAGTGCAGAAACACACTACTTTCTACGAGAAACCGTTTTTTGCAAAACTTTCAGCAAAGATAGATTTTTTCCACGTCTGCAAGCCTTATTTTTCGCTCGCTCATTAATGCGCTACCCGTTGTTCCTGCGTGAAGAAGTTGGTACCTGAAAATGTAGGAACTTCCTGCACATAAGAAGCTACTGGATAGTCGTGACGTACGTCCCAGCATGACGTTAAAGAGTTTCCTGGTATTTGCGGCGTCCGTACTTCTTCATACATCTGAAAATACCACTGGGAAACGCGGAAGTAAATGTTGGCACATCAAGCCGCGATAATAGGTTTTATTCCGACACTGAAGTGGTTTTCTCCATCAGAACTTGGGTATGAAGAGAAAGTTTTTTCACATACATCTGTACGCGAGAAGAAAAAGAATGTCTTTATTTGTCGATTTCAAACAATCAGCTACTTGCTATTACAGTTAGGTATGCACCGGTATACTGTACGGATATTTTTTCGGAATGTATGAAGAGTATGGCATATTAAATTTTTCTTACAACGGAGCTTTCTAGAAAAAACTCTCTGTATAAAATGAGCGATGCAGAATCTTGCTATCTTTCTTTTTTCTCTGTAATCGTTTTTCTACGAAGAGCCTCATTTATTGGTTTCGGTTATAGGGCTCTTATTAAATAATTTTTTCTAAGTGCTGGATCGAGATGAAGATTGCTCCTATCGTAGATCATTTTCCAGAGAAACGTTTCCTCTACAAACCTCAGTTTTAAGAAAAATTTAATATGCCATATTCTTCTTAGAATTTAGTTTGTGCGAAAAGAGGATAAATGCATGTCAATGGTACATGTCAAATTACAATTTGTGTTTAATGATTAATTATCATTTTCAAAGATCAATCTTTAAGACGATTGTCGACAGGAAATAGAATGTCATCAAATTCATTATCGTCAGTTCAATTGATTTCTACATTAAATTATATTCAACAACAACTCAATATATATGCTAATATATTACTTTACATATTTGGTGTTATAGGTTCGGTATTAAATACTATTATATTTTCACAAAAACAATCTAGAACAAGTTCATGTTCAATGTACTTTTTAGCATCATCTATTACTGATTTCCTAACAATACATTTGGCTTTTATACCACGGTTTTATTCATTCGTTAACACAGATCCCAATACATATTCATTATTATACTGTAGATGGAGATTTTATGTATTTCATTCGTTAATTATGCTATCAAGATATTATATTGTATTAGCATGTATAGATCGATTTGCACTGTGTTCAACAAATGTTAAATATCGTCAATTTAGTCGTTCTAAAATAGCGTTTCGTTTAATACCTTTAACAGCTCTTGTATGGTTTATTATTCCGATTCATATAATTTTATTTCAAACAATAGATAAAAATAGATGTACACAAGTAGGATTTTATTCATTATTCTTTAGTATCTATGCTGTTATATTTGCTGCTGTATTACCACCATTATTTATGATTGTATTTACATTGTTAATATTTAAAAATGTAAAACAAATAAGAAGAAGAATTCAGCCAACAACGGCATCAAATTCGTTACATATAAAACAAAGAGATTATCAATTAATAAAGATGTTATTATTGCAAGTTATTGTTTATATAATTTCAACGTTACCATATCCACCTGTTTTATTATATGGAACAATAACAGCTAATGTACAAAAGAGTAATACAAGAGTAGCAATAGAAAGTCTTATTACAAATTTAGCTACTCTTTATTTAATTTATATAAATGTTAGTATTCCATTTTATATTTATTTATCTATATCAAAAACATTTCGAAAAGAATTCAAACAGATCATAATTAACTATTGCTTAAAATACTTATTTAAAAGTCATTTTAATCATTCAATAGCAACAGGTACTACTCGTAGAACTGATGATGGTATACCAATTCATCTAAAACGATTAAACTAATTTGTTAAAATTGAATAATATATGAATGATTCTCATACGGTTGGTGTCGTTTCAATCGAACAGGTGGTCTCGCATTAATGTTTGTTGACACATGATGAAAATCTTTCAAACTTTTCATATATATACGCCAGTATGAGATCTGCATCGACTACAAACATCGTCTTTATCGTTGTCAACTAGTAAACAAAAAACATATGTGTTTCGTCGCGATTTTTGTTGTAACTAGCATATGTCTTGGTTAACTAATTTTTATTATTTTTGTGTTGTGTCTGTTTTGAAAACTAGTCACTGATTACAGAAACCTTCTTGAACCATCGTTGTTATGGCTCTACAGTTATCGGGACATCGACGTGATCTTATTACTGCCATTCTTCGTTCAGCTCCAAATACCAATAACATCTTCCATTCGTTAATATTTGAATGTCGGATGTTACGTTTCCAAATATAACATTGAATAGTTTCTATTACTTTATTTATCACTAAGACTTACTGTACTGATTGCTAAAAAGGAATCTTTCCAATGAGCTTTCCGTTCCTCAATAATTGTGTTTTATCGTCGTGACGCTGTGACAATCGTTTTTCCCAACAAAGTTTGGAGCACCAAACATTGCTCAAAGGATTTCATTTTCACATCGACCTTAGTTTTAGGCATCTAATATAGACTAAGGTGAAAATAAAGCCGAAAAAATGTTTTCACTTTCTTAGAATTGTGCGAGAATCTTAAAACTTAATACTTTATTAAAAACTTGTTTTGAATCTAAACTTCAAAACAAACATACCATCTTGTAGAAAGTCGAATTCTCCATCGATTAGTATGGCCTTCCATTTCTATTAGGAAAAAGTGTCTAGGTGAGGAAATTGAAAATACAGTCTTCAAAAAATGTAAAACTGGATTTTTCGTGCCAAAATTCAACTTTTTTAAAAAACTAATGTGAGATTCGTAATCAGCGCCAGAAACTGCATCTAGTGGTATGCTCCTCTCAGTTCTACTCTAAAATAATTTTTTCAAAAGCTTGATCAGCGAAGTCTCGAGTGGACAAGCCGCGGAGTTGAACTGGAGTTGAGATTTTTGTTGAGAGAGTTGGAGTTGGAGTTGAAAAATTTTGAGCGGAGTTGGAGTTAGAGTTGGAGTAAGAAATTTGAAAACGGAGTTGAGTTGGAGTGGAGTTGGAGTTGAAAGTCAGAGGAGTTGCCCAGCCCTGCACCAAGTAATAATTCAATTACATTACAATACAGAGGTCACGTTAGTAAATAATTAGAGAGTAAATCAGATATAATGGAAACCGAAAGTAGTTTCAACTTCCTGCAATAAAGCAAACACAAATTTACTGCTCTGATTCAAACTGTTCTTTACATGACTACCTACGGCTACGGCATAATCAAAGCTGCCCCTCTGCTTGGTGTAATCTTCACCATTTTTCTGTTTTTTTTATCAAGATTTCTTTCATGTGTTTCTTCGTTCTCAAGTTCTTAGCTTTGACAAACTATTTCTTTTAAACCTTTGGTAGCGATCCGGTAGAAGACACATTCGGTCACATTAGTGTTTTTGGAATAACTAACAAAAATAGAGATCTGGGGTTTTTAGCAATCGGAAGAAAATAGTTTTGCCTATGGTTTCATTTGAAAAATTTCGAAAACGAATGGTAATCAACCATGCTGAATCTCGTGGCAACATTTATTTTTCAAATAAGTTCCAGAAACCTAGTGAAAACCTATATGAGGGGAAATAATCTATTTTTGCCTGTTTTTGAGTAAAATTAAAAATTCATAACTTAATTAAAACCTATCCAAATTATGTCAGACTATCAAGATGTACTCTACTTTACCTGCTCAATGCTGTGGAGTTCAATAAAAAGCTATACAAACCAGAAGAAAATACTTTGGGTTTTAAAAACGTTGTCTAGAAATCTTACGAACTGCAAGGATACTTTTTACTATTCATAATAAAAGATCACATTGAGCAGGTAAAGTAGAGTACATCTTGTTTAGGGATGTTCGGTTCTCGAGTTAGAACCGAAACAAAAAGAACCGCGGTTCCGGTTCCCGACTTAGAACAGAACCGCGGTTCTCGGTTCTCAGCTTAGAACCGAAAAAGAATTTTTCAAGCACTAACAATTCAACGAAATAAGATACATTTTATAGTAAACGAAAGGATTCCTTTAAATGATGACAGGCAAATATATCTTTTTGCAGCTTTGTCAATAGTGTGTTTTCATTTTATTATAAGAAAGCCAAGACAAAAAGATAAGGCAGAAGAGAAAAGAACGAATTATTGTTTCGCCCGTCGTTTTTGCACTTCATAAAGAAATACAAATTTGATCGTCCGTTCACAGTTGTTCTTTTTCTTTCAATGCTGTACTTTTCTATCGTCGGTTCTTAACAGTTTTAAGACCAGATAAACTATTAAGTCACTCATTTTCTCGAATAACACATCTCTATCTTTGTTGAATCATGATTACTTTATCATACTTTTTTAACAAAACGTGGTAAAAGTAAATATCTCCGTACTATGTCTACCAGAAAAAGAGAAGCTACTGGCTTAAAATCTGCTCTATTAACAAAACGATCGAAAAAAGTTAAAGAAACCAGTGGTGAAGATAGTTCAAGTGCAGCTGAGAATGATTCAAAGTATAAAATTCTCTATGTTTTTAAAAGATAAACTATAACGTTTTTGTATAAACTAAAGCAACTGCACGCAAGCTGCAAGGTTATTAATCCTTTGCAGCTTAATTTTTTTGTTAGTAGCACTTCTCTGACGACTAATATACAAATATAACTTTCAATGGATACAAGGACAATTTTCTTCTATAGTAGAATTTAACACACATATTTTCAAGATCTTTGAAGGACTTTCTAGGGGGTCATTTTAGACGAAATCCGATAGATGTACGAAAAATGCAATATCTCAAAAACGAAATGAAATCTTGAGAAAGGACCTTTTCGTGCCGTTATGGCCAGTATCACGACATAATAATATTAGCTTTATCTCTTATCTAAGAAGTATCGCTGGGTTTGCCAGGTATAGAAGATTTCATGTAAAAGAATTTGCACACAAGTATACCTTATGAACGCTAAATATAGCTTTCTCGAAATAAAACTGTAGTATCTATAGTTAAAAAACTCTCCGTTCCGAAAAAAAGGAACCGTCTACAGAACCGCGGTTCCGGTTCCATTCTTAGCACCGGTAGCACGGTTTCGGTTCTCGATGAAGAACCGAAAGCAAGAGAACCGCGGTTCCGGTTCTTAACGAGAACCGAGAACCGAACATCCCTAATCTTGATAGTCTGACATAATTTGAATGGGTTTTAACTAACGAGGGAACGTTTCCAAGTGTTTAATCGCTTTTCGATTGATATTATATTCATTGCATAGGAGCTGTTGAGGTAAGTAAAAGTCTATCTTGGTTCGCTTGACTGGACCTTTGGGGATGAGTTATAGC